CCATCCATCCATCCATCCATCCATCCATCCATCCATCCATCCATCCAGTTTAGATTTCAAATAGTAGTGTCTGAAAGCATCGACTCTAAGGCTAAGAGATCAAAGTTGATGGAAAAAAGAAGTATCATGGTAAAAGAGAGGCAAAAATGCAATATCCTCATATGAGGACGCTGGGTATCAGGAGGTTAAACAACATGCAGTATACGAATGTCATATCATGACTGTGGTGAATTTCAGAAATTGAGTACGGTACATCAGATAAATTCACGGAGCATCATATATGAGTGGCGGTAGTCAGTATATTGTGAAATAAAAGGAGAGAACTCAATGAAAGAGAGCATGTCCATACACAACATAGGAACATGACACCACTCCTGGATAGCAGGGGGATAGTCGGAGCGGAAACTGTTCAGTCAAGCTGTCTGAGCCCTACTCAAGTTTGTATTTCTTCTATCATCTCATTACAACCAACTCAAACATGTAGGTATACAGTTGAAAAAGTACCTCTTGTTTGAGTGGGTTAAAATCCTCTGCAGCTTTACCATTCTGAGTGCTTTCATTGCAACATATAACATATTAATGACGTGTATGCTGCTGTACAGGGGAGCAGATGTACAGTTTTCGAAACCAAATGGCTGTCGTTCTTTGAGCTTGTGGTTGCATCTAAGGAAATGTGAATGTGACTTTTATAATTTATTACATTGATGATAGAAGCATGAAATAAAAATGGCAAACTCTGTATAAATTGTTGTTAAAACAATAATTGCAATTAGATTTTCTTTGCACCTTTAAGAAAAGCCTTTGGGAAGAGGGATGAACTTGTTCATTTTTTGATGTGCCCACATGCCACATGGAACAGTGCATTTGTGTTATAATACAAATATGACCTTAAAAGTACATAGAAAAAGCATATTCTTATAATTCCTGTATATACTGTATGACAAAAATTGAATGACAAATGTTTAGAACATCGTGATGTTTAGTTAACTTAATCTGTCAGGGTCTAAAGATAATGCGGATCACAAACATTGTACATTTATTTGAAAATATACTTTTTTGATAATTCTTTTTCTCAGTATTAAGTTGGTTTGCATTTAATTAGATGAAAAATAAGAAACTGGCTCATGGGCTGTGAGAGGGACATAGTTTGGAAATAACAGAGCACGTAATTTAACAGAAGATTAATAAATCCGCCTAGCATGTATATATATATATAAGTATCTTATTAAAAGGGAGTTTTTCTTTAAACTAACACCTCACAAACTCAGGATAGCAGATTGGATTCAAATTAAGATTTGGTGCCATCTGCTGTTTTTTTTTATTGCTTTCCCTGAAATTGATCAGATTATGATTACAGCAAATTTGTTGGGAAGAAGGTACAGATAATGGATCGATAGACAGAACATTTGATTATAATTGTCTTAAATTGAATTGTATATTTGAAATGCCTAGAGATGACGTTTAGTGTGATTTGGTGCTATAAAGATTAAACTGAGATTAAGTTTACAGGGGGCATTTTTGGATTAGCATGGTCATTTTTCAGATGGGTATAGTAAATGAAACATTTGACTGATCTTTCTTTAAAGCTTTAATGAATAGTAATCTTATGCTAAATCAAAACTACAGTCTTCTGCTAACATGAACTATTTATACCATTATAATTGGGCTCTATTTGTTCACTTTAGAGTTGAACTTGCTCAGTACATTTTTACTTTGTGTCTTCATTTAAGATTTATACTTTTGCACTGAACTCATATAACCTCTCTGACTGTACTTACAGATTCCTTCCCTGTTGCATCAGATACATGTAATCAAAACAACGCATTTATCTAATTTCATTGGGATCTGCATGAATCAGGAGTTGCCCTGTTCATGTAAGATGTAACTGGCCAATAAGACTTTGCTGCAATATGGCCAGCCTTTCTACTGTATGGGGCAGACCTAACCCAAGAAGATAAATGTACATCACACCCAGATGTCAGGGCTCTTGCTGATTGAAATCCTCAGATAGTCTGAGCCCAGTGTTGCACTACATTACCTTTAACCTGAATAAATTCCATATTTGTGCTCTAATCATTATCTGGTTTATTCTCAGGCTTTCAACAAAATAATCGGCCAAACAATACAAATAAGGTAATTACTTATCTACCTCTCTATGAGCCCAAAAATGCCCAATAAATGTAATAGATTAATAATAATTACTTTTTTTTAAAAGTAGGATTATTATTAATTTTGAAAAATGATTTGTATTTTCAATTCTGTCTTTTCTTTTTTGGTTTGATCTTATATTAATTCCATCAAGGAAGAGAAACATCACTGAAAATACACATCCCACCCACAAAACACTGTGACTCTGTTTTTGTCTGAGAGCACAGAGGAAGCAGAAAACACGGTTACATAACTGTGTTAACTGTATTAAGCGCTAACTGAAATATAAGGCATGCATGTGCTGCGTTCGTCAGCCAAAACACATGAATTCAAGTTACCAGAATATTTATATGAAAAACAGATGGAGCAAAATGCTTCAATTACATGTAAAACATTAGTCAACATTTGCTGTCTAATCATTCCACTCTGCGGTGAACCTGCAACAGCTCATTTATAACAGGAAGTGGTGAGAGACGAGCCTCTCTGTAGTACACACGCTGGATTAACAGTTATATCAAAACAGCAGACTAAGACAGACTGTCACATTACAGCCAGTGTTTAATTGAGTATTCAATGAGTATGTATTCTCACAAGGCAGTAAATGTACAGCAAACTAATCACTATTATCATACATGATGATTGGCTCACTCCATGCCACATGTCTGCTGGGAGAGAAATAATACCGTGATTTCATTGCATGAGAACATATCTTGATGCCATGCACTAATATTGACCAGAAGGAACAGGAAAAAGACAACTAAAACAATAAAAGTTAACTAAATGCACTCACTCAGTATGGACATTTTTACATCACATGAAATGGGAATAATACACACGCATTTAGAGAAAGAAGGTGGCGACAATGTTATAAACAATGCATTTAGAACAACAACATTGACAAGAACAATAACAGTATTAAAGCTTTTCATGACCATATCAACATTCAGTGTATTGGAAAATACAATCCCAATAGACTCTGTATAAAAAGAAGCTTTTCAAGTCAGCATGGAACAAATAACAGTTCATATCTCAAAGGGTGAGGGCAGGGTGGATGACAGGGACAAATGGGTGTGCTTCCATAGATTCCAGAAGAGTGAAAGGGTTGGAGGTGTTTGTGTGTGTTTCTGCGTGTGTGCGTAGGGTGGGAGCCCCTGGAGGACTGGAGCTGTTCTATGTGGCGTAGCGTTTGGTCCACTGTTTGGCTATCCTGTCGTGCTCGGCTCTGTTGGTCAAGTACTGTGTAGCAATGCTTCCAACCAGAGGGTCCGCTGAAACAAAACAGAAAACATCATAATGTACATGTGGAGATTCAATTTTTTTTATGCTGACGATGGGCTGCAACTGACAACGGAGCTTCTGATATAGTGGACATGACACAGTTTGATAGCTTTTTATTAGACACATTTATCAGCGTCACATTTATATTTACACAAAGGGTCACAGCATGGGGGGTAAGGGCACCCTCACTGCCCAGTTAAGCTGAATGGACACATCTTCTTAAATACTTTTAGCAGTAACTGCTGTTTCCCCATGACATCTGGCATCAGGCCAAAACATTTTGGGCTAATGTTTTTATTCTGGACACTTCGAGAGCCATGTTTTGGAAACCAACTTATTTTTCATAATTAGATCAGAGTAATTCTTCAGCTATGGCCATGGAAAATGACAGCTGAGTAAATACTTACATTGGGTTTTCATCAGCATTTCAATATCCTGATTTTGATCCAACTTTTCACACCAGATGTATTTACTTCTCAGCAAAACTTGACCAGAATACAGATGCCTCTAATGATACAGTGCACTTGGTCGGCAGTTATAAGATGTACTGGACCCAGAGCATAAATATGCAAAACATGGTATGGGGTATTGCCTCTCACTCTGCACTCATATTGTGTTTGTGGATGTATTACTCAGATGGAAATGTTGTGACTACTGCCATCAGTTTTAGGGAAAAGTGGTCTCTCAATTCACCAGTTAATCCTGGACTCAGGCCATAATAACATAACTGTCAGTAAAAGCCATCACACCATCATCTTTGGGGCCATATGTTTTCCTTTCTAAGGTTTTATAACCAGAAGATCTGATTTCTAATACACATCAGATATGAAAAAAAAAGAAAGAAATTCCCTTTGATTACAGTTTAGGGAATTTTGGAGCCCCCTCAGTTCCAGCTCATAAAATAAGAAAGTGTCTTGGTAACATAGGGAAGTGTGATGTGTTATATGTATGATGCACGTTCACACAGTTGAACTTTCTGACAACCAATTAGCTTGCCCATTGCATCACAATCTGAAGAGATACAAAGACATCAGGTTGACAACCTGGACTCATGATAACTCGTAGAAAATCAGTGCAACCAGTGAAAACCACAGAGTATGTTGCAGTACGTCTAACAAAGACAGCTCGGTCATGTCTGTGGTCTGACGTTATGCTCGTACCACAACACGTACATCAGGGTGGACGCTTCCACTGAAATTATGCATTGCTGGGGAATTAAAGGTGATCATGGTGTTCTCCGGCTGAAGGTCCATCTGTTGACACACCGCACACGTCCTCTCAGTCAACAGCTCCTCTATGTGATTGTTCTGCCGGTCAATTTCTCAGTGAGATGACGGAGAAAGAAAGAAAGAAATTCCTCCTGCCTCACATACACTCTGCCTGTCTTCAGACTATCTCCCGTGCGGAACCTCGCCATAATCACAGAGCAGTGCGATGAGCTTGGCTGAACAAGCAGGACAAAACTCTCCGGTCTAATCCCTGCTGGGGTTTCAATGATGGGGGCTTTTATGAGCATACACCCATATTTCCAGATGACTGGATCCTCACATCACAACATTCTGGTTTCAAGCTGGAAGTTCCTGTATATTACAGCCAACTCAAAAATACACACAGGTCAGTTTGGGCCAAAGACAATCTTGTTGGAATTTGGCGTGTGTTCGGAGTGATGCGGTGGTACAGCTTTACCCACGGACACGGGTTTTAACTTTCACACACTTTTCACAAATTAATGTTGAATGACTGAGCAACTTATCCAACAAATTGTACAGATAAATAGATACATAAGATGGACAATGAGAAACAAACCAAACCTCAACCAGCTAATGAACAAGCTAACCAGCAGCTGTCTTTGCGAAGTAGGTTTATTTTTGTTCTTCACACACAACAATAAAGGAGCTTGATGAACCCATTTAAAACCAGTGATCTGTTCAGTGTTGTCCATCATGTGAAACAATCTTCAATCTAAAACCAGCTTTTGTGCTTTTCTCTTTCATACACCCATGTCAGCTTGTGTCCTGCTGCTTGTTTATTCTGGTCATCTTTGGACGGTGTGGTCTGGAATTCAGCTATTTTTACAACAAATTAAATGGAAAAAAGGAAGCGTAGGTAGAGAAATCTGCATCAGTAGATTTTTAAACAAATTATCCAAAAAGGTATATTTTCAATAGCATTTTCAGTTTCAGTCAGTTGAGTTGCTGCACAAAATTAAACAGGAGCTATGTTAACTGGAATATGTAAGCCTAGGGTCTCATTTATTTAACATTTTGTTGGTTCTATACTAAAAGTGTGGCTATACCCAAAAGCCGAAAATGGCACACACGAAAAAATCAATCTTGATCAATCAATCAAGATTTATAAAACCATGCTTATGCACACCAGCAAACAATGTCCATTTTATAAATCCCAGCTGTACCACAACATTGACAATAAGGCCCCCCCTCCGCCTTCTACACACCCACATTCAATCATAAATTGAATAAATTCCCAATCCCTCTGATTAATATGAAGGAATTAGCTTTTTCCTTTACAAACAAACCTATTTCAGCCTCACTTTCTCACCCTGAAATACACTGTTCCCTCCGGTAATTTTGGATATAACAAATATGTCAAACAGCTGTACATGATGTGTTGAGGAAATTACATTAAATAAATAATACATCTGTTTAAAAAGATTATTCTTAAAAAGTAAAGCACATCAACTCCCATTGATGATTAAAAGCTATGGTAGCTACAAATCTTTTCATTTACCTAGAAATGTGCTATGTTTTACTTTATAGACGTGGTACACAAAAACAACAAAAACGTTGATCTTTCCGTCATGTTTTGATTTTCGCAGGCTTGATGATAAACGATTCCATGATGTCATTTTACCGACAAACTGATCAGAAAGTATGAGCAGAGGGAGAATCCTCCTAACCCAGCTGCACCTTAACATTTACAATAAGGTTCCCCCTCCGCCTTCTACACACTCACATTCAACACAGCTGTTTTTAATTCTAACAATAAAGTTTAAAAAAAAGTGTACACATGGCTCATACTTGGCATGAGGGACCGCGCATTTTCCCATCAAGTTGTTCTTCATAGATCACAAACTTTACATGGAAAGTGGTGTTCGGAAGTTTTAGGCCCGATGTTGTGCATATGCAACTTTTATAAATGAGAACCTAGAAATGTTTTGTTTTATCCCACATGCTCTTAAAATGGTAAATTCAACTTTGAATATGTCAGGAAGAGGCCTGTGTTATCACAGTTGAACTAAGGAGGAAAAAGTATGGAGGCAACTGGTAGGACCTGAACTCTAAGATACTGATATAGCAGGAGGCTCAGACACAGTGAACAAGAGCGATACCTTCGGTTGGCTTCTGCTTGTGATACTGTGACACCGAGTTTAGCAGAGCGAGACAGCATACCTGAGAGGATGAATAACTAATTTCCATGCTTTAATGAGTTACATGCCAATGTATAATTTTTGAAAAAAGTTGATTGTCAACAGTGTGTAGAGATTTCAACAGTCGCCTAAACAGCAGGAGAGACTACCAATTTGAGGAGGCTAAATACATGTAGATGAACAATTTTTCATTAGAGGGGTAGGTGTTACCTTTTGGATATTAATGGGGGGGTTCTATTAAAACTCCTTGTTGTTATCATATTTTAAAGAAATCATCTTATTTAATCTTACTAGCAACCAAGTACGTCAGAGAAGAGATGAAAAAATATTCACAAATGTTTTACCCACAGAGACAGAGTCATAGTTACCACGTTTATCAAAGAACAATCCCCACAGAGAGGACAAAAGCTATCATCATAGCTACTCACAATCTTGTATCTCCCCTTCGTCCTTTCTTTGTTTAAACAACTGCTCACAGCTACAATTTCATGAAATTCTCCAGTCTGTTATATACCTTTCTCAGTCTGGCACATTCCTTCCAGTCCCCACATTTTGAAACAAATTATTTTACCAAAACAACTTGCACCGTTTAAAATGTCATGTTATCAGAGATAATATACATGTGTTGCTGAGAAGCTTTGGAATGGGGTTTAATTGGTTAATTAAAGGCAGATTGAATTCCCATCTCTTCCAGAGGTAGTCTTTGCACTGTGGGTGAACTGGGCCATAATAGCACTAATTAGCTTCAAAACTGTCAACATCACTTTAGGGAGTGCCGTCAGCTGTTTATAGAAGTGCGTTGAATCAGTTTGCCTGAGCTGAATATTGACTGAACTGCAATGAATGAAGCAGGAAAGCCCAGACTCTGTGTAAATGATATTATAAGAGGCTGATGAAATAAATGTGTCATTGTTTTGCTTCTTAACAATACAGTATAAACAGTTATTGGAGGTTAGGAATATTATCTACTGGTGAGGTGCTTTTGAGCAAAAGAACACAGTAGACGTGTTAATTATATCAGCGGGACACGTCTTTAAATTGCAACAGCAATATCAGAAAGAAAAACATCAAGGCACTATGGAGGTCTTTTTTCAGATGCCATGGAGGCTTCAAACACTCATATTGAGAAAACTATCAAATATCACAAAATATATGCTACGATCACAATTAGCTATCCTGCTGCTCCAACTCATGCTCAAGCAAAGCAGTCAGCGGAAATTGTTTCAGACCTTAGTACCCTGCCATTTTACAATGTGGAATTTTCCAAAGGAAAAATAAAAGTTAAGAAGTCAAAAGCCCAGCAGCGGAAAGAAAAGTTTGAAGGGACAGTGGTAGTTTTTTGTCTACAGACAAAATGGGCCAGTTAAACAACTTGTGGTTCCAAAATTGGTTGGAGAAACCATTTGGAAGCTGGGTCATTTTATTCCCGGGGGTAGCCATCTGTGGAAGCATAAGACCTTAGCCCGCATAAAGTGTTGTTTCTATTGGCCTGGCATGCGTAAAGGTGTTGTGCAGCTCTACTGGAGCTGTCCAGAATGTCAAATTACATCAGCCAGACTTCCCAACAAAGCTCCTCTCCAACCTTTTCCCATTCTAAGTACACCATTTTAACACTTGGGCATGGACATAGTGTGACTGGTGGAAAAGAGTAAAGCTGGAAACCGGTTTATGCTGGTAATTTTGGAATACACAACTAAATATCCAGAAGTGTTCCCTTTGAAAGTTGTCAAAGCAAAGAATGTTGCATTCTGTTTAGTACAATTTTCTTTCAGGAGTTGGCTTTCCTCAGGAAATACTCACTGACCAGGGCACCCATTTTATGTCCAAACTTTTCAAAGATGTGCATCAGTTGCTGGTGATTAAAGGACTGAGAACAACACCTTATCATCCACAGACTAATGGACTCACTGAAAGGTTTAATCAGACACTTAAACAAATTTGTGAATGAAAGTGGCTCTGACTGGGACCAATGGCTTCCATATATTCTGTTTGCATACAGAGAAGTTCCCTTAGGCTTCTACTGGGTTTTCCTCATTCGAGTTGGTCATGAAGTAAGGGGACCCCTGACTGTTCTAAAGGAACAGTAGGAGGGGAAACAAACTAACCGGGATCATTTAAATATTGTATCTTATGTACTCCAGATAAAGGAAAAACTGAAGTAGATGACAACATTGGCTCAGGAGCGCATGAAGACCTCTCAGCGCAAACAGAAGACCTGGTATGACACTGCAGCCCAGAAAAGAGGGTTCAGACTGGGTCAGAAGGTGCGGAGGATAGCAAGCTGCTGGCCAAGTGGCAAGGGCCCTATGAGATAATGGGGCCCTTAGCAAAAAAGCTAAGGACCCACGACATACAAAGTCTCGATTTCAGGTCGAAGCTGCTCCACTCTGATTTTCCATGTGAACCTGCTTAAAGAGTGGGTTTCCCAGGACCAAAAGAAGCTTGCTTCTTGCTACATCTGGAGTACAGAGGATGAAGAAATTGAGGAGCAATATTTCCCTGTTTCATCACCTTCTCAGCCTTTTTTGGATCACCTATCAGGGGACCAGTGGTTGGAGGTGAGGGCTGTCTGTCCATCAAATGTGTTCCAGAAGAAGTTTATAACGATGTAATGCATGACATTGCCTCAAAAGAAGATGCAGTTCCAAAACGAATGAGCTATCGCATTCCAGAGGGACTTCTACAACCACTCAAAAGGGAAATTGAGGTAATGCTTTCCCTTGAAAAGCTAAGGTAGCATTCAGAGACAATCAGCAAGCCCTAAGCCATGTACCTGTGCTCCATTGCCCTGATTTCAAGCTGGAGTTTGTCTTACAAACTGATGCCTTAGATAAAGGTACTGGTGCTGTGTTGCTTCAGGGCCCCCAAATGACCGCCAACCATCGCCTTCAGTCGGAAACCTTTTCCCAGAGAAACACGTTACTCTACAATTAAGAAGGAATGTCTGGCTATAAAATGGGCTCTGGATTCCCTTAGCTATTACCTCCTGGGAAGATTTTGTGCTGGAAACTGACCACAAAGCCCTGAAATGGCTAGAGAGGATGAAGGACACCAATAGTTGAATAACCCGCTGGTACCTGACATTGCAACCCTATAAGTTTGAGCTGCATTACATCCCTGGCAGGGAGAATACTACTGCTCAATACCTGTCCCGCTGTGCCAGCGAGCCTTCAAATGAGGGGAATGTGTGGTGGATGCTCCTACTGCCAACACTATCAAGTGCCTCAATTACAATCCAGCTTGAGGTAGAAGCCTTGGAACATACCATTGTTCCAATGACTGAGGGAGGGGGAATGTTGTTCTTCAACTTAAGTTAAGCTAAGCCCCAAGTTATTTTGTCATTTTGATATATTCTTATTTGTATTATGTTAAATATGATTTTGCTTCCATTTGTTAGGTTTTTTGTACCCTTATTATGTTCCTCCCTCACTTGGGAAGTTTAGGGCAGCCCACCCCTATTTAAGCAGCCTTGGTTCTGTGTCTGGAGGTCAGTTTTTACTTGTGTTTGGTTGCTGTTCAGTTGACCTCAGCTGAGTTATTTACTTTAAGTTATATTGTATTGAAGTTTGACCTTTTGTTTACCATTTTTTATTTTAATTTGAATTTTTTCTAATTTAAGGAACACCTTTGTCCTTGTTAAGTCTGGTCCCTCACAGAGGGATATACATTTAAACTTTTTTTCTATAATCTAAATAATCAAAATTATGTGTAACATATGTGGCCAAATTGAGAGATGGCTAACTTATCAAATAAATATATGCAGTGTCTATATTTTATAATTGTTTTGTGACTCTCACCAGGGTTGCAGTCAGTGAGCAGGGAGCAAATGGACAGGAGGACCTTGGAGATGGTGAGGGCAGGACTCCAGTTGTCCTTCAGGATGTCCAGACAGATCACCCCCTGACTGTTGATGTTGCAGTGGTAGATCCTGGTACGGAATGTCACCTGTGGAGAGACGGAGACAGAAAATGACAAGACTCTTCCTGGCTTTGTCTATGTGCACAGTGATGCGTAGGGCCTGAGGGAACATGTAGTACTGCCAAGATCAGGAATCATATCTTGATTCATTATTTTTTATTTTCAAGGAGTCGCCCGCAGGCCTGTTCTAAAAATAGCACAACTCAATAGTGAGCTGCGTCTAAAATTTAATTTTGTTCCGTTGCTATTCTTTTTTAATCACACTTGCATTCATATATATTTGATTTAAAATGGCAATATCTTAAAAATATGCTCATTATATATTAAGTTTAAGTTTTCTCTAGTTCAAAGGTCAGTATTGTGCACGTGACAAAACAAAACCAGTGTCAGTGGAGATTAAGGTAGTGGGCGCAGCGGAGTAAGTTTCTTAACCCAAAAACATGGCAGAAAAACGAAAGAAAACATATCATTTTAACAACGAATGGGAGGAGGAGTTCTTTTTTACAAATGTTAAAGAAGCCTGCGTGTGTCTGATTTGCGGGGCAACTGTGGCGACGGCAAAGCGGCACAATGTTGAGAGACACTTCACTTCGTGCCACAAAAGCTACCATGCTAATTATCCACCGGGAAGCGCACTACGGGCAGAAAAAGCCTGCGAGTTAAAGGCAGCTTTGGGTAAGCAACAGTCTTTTTTCACGAGGCCGGCGAAAAAGTCAGAGAAAGCGACTGAAGCCTCGTTTAGAGCCGCACATTTTTTAATAAAGAAGAAGAAGGCGTTTTCAGACGTAGAGGTTTTGAAAGAAGCAATGATGATAATTGCTAATACTGTGCTTAAAGACGAGAAAAATGGAACCGATATAATCTCCACTCTCTCCGACGTCCAACTGGGGGCATCTACGATGGCTAGACGAGTGTCAGCTATGTCTGGTGACTTGGTCGATCAGCTGGACCGGGACCTGGCCAAGTGCAGGTGGTTCAGCATCCAGTGCGACGAGTCCTAGACAGCAGCAGTACAGCACAGCTATTGATTTTTGTCCGGATGGTGTTCGAAGATTTCTCCACAAGAGAAGAACTCCTGACACTACTGCCCTTAAAGACATCTATAAGGGGAGTTGACATCTATAACGCGGTGAAGGAGTTTTTCGTGCAGAAAAGGGTACCATTGGAAAGGCTGGTCGCGGTGACTACAGACGGGGCTCCTGCTATGATAGGCAGACATGCGGGTTTCATCGCTCACTGTAAAGGGGACCCAGACTTCCCAAAAATTCTGCATTACCACTGCATCATTCACCAGCAGTCCT